ATGCATATTGGTACATCAGAGTGATATCTTAAATTATCTAGTTTTGATGAATTCTTGTTGAAAACAGCAATTCTGATCTTTAATTGAAATGTGCATTGCTAACAGTGTAGCTATGTCAGCCGAGAGGCTGCTTGTATTTTTAAAACATTACTACCTGTGGCCCTGGAAAATTGGGGCATATTAATGAAAACATGTAGTTGTATTTTTTTGTAAGTCTATTTATGTATACAGGAGACATTAAACATAATGTATCATTTCATTGAAAAAATTTGCACGAGTGATATTTTAATCAAATATTCATTAATCCTTTCACCACCACTCAAACAATAGTCAGCAAGTTGGGTACACTTCCAGGAATATTATGAAGTGTTAAAGGTGTAACTTGCCCCCGACTCTTAAGTTTCGTTTTGTGGGTGCAACTGAACTGCACAACCAGAAAATTTTATATACAGTACACTTGACAACTTGTTGTATTCATCACAAATCAGGCGAAGTATGGGGAAATTGTTTCATTTTGTCAACACATGAAACTTGCAAAACCAGGCTTTTGAATAGGACACCACTGGTTCTGTGATTAGTGCCTTGACAAAATAAAATTCATAGTCTAGGACTAGGTTTTTCATTCATCTGTGAAAAGTCAACAAATATCAACACAAACTATGTTAGCAAAATTTGTTTAATAAAAAATATAAAAGCAAATTATTGCAAAAGGATTTATTTATACAATATATATATAGGACAGATATCTGTCAGACTTTTCCCAAAGTACCTCTGCTTCCTACTGACTGCCAGTTCGTGTTATACTTATTTTGGCATAAAAACCAATAATTAGCCAGGTAGTTCCAATCTTTAGATTATCTACAACATCAGTTATAATTATTGGCTTTTAAAAGAAGGTGTACATACATTGTCAATTCTCGGTCTAAATACCCAGTTCTGCAAAATCAAAATCTACAGATTTGAGCATCGAACAAGTTGTTCGGATCTGGTTTTAACCGTACAGGTATTGTGTCGCCAGTATCAATTTTCCTATAACCCAGGAATACTGTGAAACCACGACTTTAAATAACAGTGCATGTATTGTTGGGCCCTGGTTATCATCTGATAACGTCAAATCAGAAAAGTCGCTAAATAGAGACTCTCGAGTGATTGTAATCTGAAGATACATTGTTAAGAGAACGACTCCAGGTCAGAAACTTCACCTGTGAAGTCCCACTTTCAATAAAGTACATATTCTTTATTGTCAATAAAAAACAGACAGAGTTCAAAGCAGGTTATCTTCATGTCATTTGACAATAACAATCTGTGATCTGACGTTTGTATCACTCCGTCTTCACGGTTTGCATAATTATCGTTATCTGTTGTAAATTTTTTTTGTTAGGTTCAATTTGATGACTTTGCAACATAAGATTGTCCCCCATGTAATACTCTCATCGACTTCCAGAACTGTTAGGGCAAATTCTGTAAATTCCTATAATAAAAAAAAAAAAAAAATCACTGTTAATTTATTCAAAGATGGGGTGTTAATTGTTGGGTTGGGAGGGCATCCATTTTCAAGGTCAATCTATAAAATGGCCCTATCATATCTGGGAGGGATAATTTCCTTTGTTTTTGGGTGCTAGATGTACATTTTATAAAAATTTAATGAAGTAGGTCAACACCCCTTAATTGTGTCTAATAGTAAATCCTGTTTTACTGTCAAGGTCTGAATGATTCACACAATGCAAATTACTGACCAAGATATGTATTTACAATTCCTTACCTTGTTGACATAGCAAGTGGTTTATAAGCATTTATTGTCAAAAAGTTCTTGTTGATAGGTTGCCCAGAGTCAGATTAAATGCTGCATTTTGAGGTAACACTATGTATTGAGTTAAGAAATCAATATACTGGTAAATTATTTTGTACTTTAACAACTATGAAGAACACAGTGCTATCGATACTTTGACAACATTTTGGATTGTGGATTGTGCCCAGAGTTCGAGTATGGATTAATGTAAAGCGACTGTACTGTCTAGAGGACACACCTTGAAGTATGCACATACCGTTATCAACTTATAATACATCATCCAGAGTCTGCAATGCTCAGAATCATATAAATTAGCAATATTTATTGTTTTCAGTTACAAC